ATGGCTTTCCATTTCCTGTTCAATCTCTCTCCTGACTTCCTTCTTTTCTATGAGTTCCAGAGAACGTCTATTTTTCCAGATAATAAACAATTCTTTTTGGCTCAATTTGTTCTGATATTTGAAACTGAAATCATAGCAGAACAAATTATTTGAAAAAAATTGGTAATTTTGCGATGCTAAGAAGTTTGTAAGACTTAAACTCAGTGATTCCATATCTAAGAACCTACCCTAAAAGGGGACATTCTAAATCCTACAGATATGTTATAGAAGACCATTATTGTGAAAACATCCTGCTCCTGGCTTAACCCCATTTCAACTGTAACATTCTGGTTTGTAGTCCATAGAAAAAAATATTTAATTTTCTAAACCATTATTAAAGAAATATTACCTAAGATTGCTATTTTGTAATGTTTCATACCTTGATAAATTACTAGGAAAGTTTTATATTGTTTGCTAGGCAGGTTTGGAGGTATTCCATCATAATCTATTATAAAGCTGATATACATTAATAATAGATTCTGATGACTGTACAACAGGTCTAAAGTCATTAAGGACAATTTCAAACTATTCTCTGTAAACATAATTTAGCCAAATTTTTTAAATACATAACACTCAATAAACTTATTTTTATTTAATTTTCTTAACAAAGTCTCTTTATAAACATAATGAAAAACTACTTTTTTTATTTTTGTATATGTAATATCTGAAAATTACCAGAATTCTGCAGGGTGTAATGAATACTTTTGACTACCTGAAACTTTCTGTCATTAGAGAAGACTAATAGAACTTCAAAAATACAGAATTCAGAATGGAAACATGGCCCTTGTTTACATCAATAATGTCTATGCTTGTTTAGCTACTTCTGTGTCTTGTATTTCCCTAATATACATTCTATAAATAGTATTGTATTCACTTATCCTATAAATCATGTTTGTTGTAAAATGCTGCTGCTGATATTAATCTTTCAACCAATTGTTGGTAGTATGTTATTTTTTATGCTCATGTCATGTCAATATATTTGTAAGAATATTGCATTCACCTCAGGCTCTGGGGCAGAATGCAATACTATTATAGAAGTATAGTGAAGGGGCAGTGCCTGTGGCTCAAGGAGTAGGGCGCCAGCCCCATATGCTGGAGGTGGTGGGTTCAAACCCAGCCCTGGACAAAAACTGTGGGAAAAAAAAAAAAAGGATGGAGGAAAAAAAAAGAAAAGTATAGTGAATGCAGTACTATTTATAGAATAGCATAGTCAAGCTTAGTGAAGATGCTACAGTTTGTAACTCACAGCGGTGTTGTGATCTTTGCATAACATAACTATAGAAATGCCTAGAATATTGTCAGCATCTAAGAACTTACTACTACATTTTGGTTCTTTATGAGTAAATTAAAATCAAGGGAAAGATACAATCATTCTTGTCCATCTTCTTTACACATTACCCTATTTTATTCAATATTTTTCCTTTTGCCATTTTCCATTTATAATATAGGAAAAATTAAACTGATAGTCTCCACCTGTTATAAAGGTTACAATGTTCACAACTGCATTGTTGAGTATGAATCAGTAATTAACATCTTATTCATTCTCATACTGTCTTACAGGCTTCTTTCAATATAAACTACAATTCTTCAAACTATTCAGTATGTGCCTATTTCATGTTATTTTGCAAATCTAATGAGAGGTTATCAAAAAAGAGAAACTTCTCACATTTAGACATTTGCAATTGTGTTAGTAGCGAAAAGACACCCACTATTTCTCAGTACATTGTGTAGCCTTAATTCTGTGAGAAACACTTTTTCAATGTTTTTGATGCTTCTCTATAATGTCTAACTTACTGAAGTTTTTAAATAAAGTTTTAGATTTCTCCCTTTGCCTCAATCTATGCTCTAGAATGAGTTTACTTCTTGGGCAGAGATTATGTTTGCGTAAGAAAGGAAGACGGTTCAGATTGACAAGGCAATACTCCTGGGAAAGACTATTAACATGTATAAAGGGATTTCCTTGCAGTATAAATGCTCACACGCGCCCTCCTGGTGCCTCAGAGCCTTCCTGATGTATATATGCAGGTACTGAGAATTGAATTGCCCTGCGAGACAGTAATATAATAAAACTCTAATTTGGGGAGCGGCGTTTCTCCTTATTTGTCTGCTCTATTGTGGGAATGAGTTGCCAATCTTTTACTTCAGCTGATACTTTTATACCTCTGAATTCTGACGCTTCTGCGACTCTGCCTCTGATAATGCATCACAGCGCTGCCGAGTGTCTACCAGTCTCCAACCACGCCACCAATGTGATGTCCACAGGTACTGACTCCTAGGACAGGTGACCTATGGCTGGGCCTAAAGATTTCAGAATGGATGTTTGAATCTTGTTAGTTAAATCTTTTTGCTACTTTTATTTTTCTTCTTCGATTTAACTTGTTCTAAGTTAAATATAAAGAACATTAAAGAAGCCAAAATACCTAAGAATTTCTAATATAAATATTAGTAAGTATAGTAATTTTGTTTTATTATAACAAAAAGATCTGTTTTCTACCTAATGAAACAATGAGCTTGGGTATTTTTAATCTGAAACCCATTTTAATGGAAATGTTTATGGAATAAGGAGCAAAATGAAATAAATATTATAAAATAATTTAATATTTAAAAGGTGCTGTTTCTTTATCTTAAAGATTTATTTGGTTTGGGGTTACATCTGGTACTGTCTAAAAACAACTATAAACCTTATATTAAACCCAACTGAATTATTCCCAATACTAACAACAAAGGATTTCAAAGAATAAAATAATTAAATTAGTTTTGATAAACTTACGTTTTTGGTGCAATATGACACTCAGGAATCAAAGCTGGAGGAAATATAGCATTTAAAACCCAGGAACTAAGCTAAATTTTATGAGGATTAAATTTGAAGAGACTTCACTTCTCACCATGTTTTAACATTAGCCTTATCTAACTTTTTCAAATAAAAATCAAGCCTGAGAATTCAAAAATATTGTCTCAACAAAGTCAACTAAGTACTTACATTTTGCTAATGTGTTCATTCTTCTTGCAATCACAAATGAAGTTTTTAAAACTGATTTACAAATAGAGAAAGCCTTGAGTTGAAAAAATTTCTTTCATTAAATAGTAAAATACTACTCACTTTCCATTAGTTTTAAATTAAATTTGCCTCCTATTTATAGATGATATAAAATTTTATGCATTTATAAATCAAAATTTGAGTTGCTACATTAATGTTTAAAGGATTTAAACTATATATTTTATTATAATCAGGTATTTTCCAAACATTTATGCAAGTTTGGCATAAATCTGCTGAATTTCAAAAAGTCTAGAAATAAGATATTTGGACTTTGGTAAAGTCATTTAATGTGGTTTTTTTTCATCCACCAAAGATTCCTATAATTTATTTAAAAGGTAATACTCGAAGTATCCTCAAACATATTGCTGAAAAAATATAATAAATTGTTGTTATCAAAAACATTCATTGTAAATTAATCTAAACAATTACCACACAGCCAATCATACATTTCAAATAATAAATGGTTCTATACATTGGGGATGAGAAGGACGATACATTATTTCTTTAATCCTCTGTATGTAAAGAGAATTTGAACAGCATGGAAATAAAATTTAGAATTGAGGTTCAGTTAGCAAAATGATCTCGTTTCAGGCTCAAAATTCTATTTATTTATTTAACAATAAGTAGTATAGTAAATTAGCCTCTTTGTAGCAGCCAACTTCCTAAACTCAGAAAAACAAAAAGTATTTAAAGCTTGTAAGTAAAAAAAAAGATTATAATCAGTAAAAATGACCTAAAATATTTTAAAAGATAATAGCATTTATAACTTTCTCATGAAATTATAATCATATCTACCTAATAGAGTAAAGAATTAGAAATACTGGTTTTAATGAGAATGTTAAATTTAGAATGCATAATAAGACTTTTATGTGTAATTATTATGTAGCAAAATTACTTCAGTTCTTTCTACTTGTTAGTTATAAAAGGAAAATTTGGGCAGATCTTTAAAAATCAAAGATCGCTCTATATTTTTAAGAAATGCAGTTTACTTTAGAGACAGCCTATCTTTAATCACTAGGCTACGAATATGCTCAAATGATACTAATTTTTACTTTATAGCAATTATCCAGGAAAGTGTGGTTTTATATTTATGAAAATTCACTAGTATGTTCAGTGTATGAAGCAGAAATGAGAAAATAAGATACACGAGGGAACACTGACAGGTAGTTCATGCTCCTCATCATCTTGGTGACTTGTGTTTAAAACTTGATAAACATGTAGTAATTCAAATTACAGTCAAAAAAGAAATTGATTTCGTGAACCATATCACCACTTTTGAACAATGACGTTTACGTACGGCTTTGTGGATGTCAAGTCACCCAGCCATCTATGGCATTATTTGGGGGGCAACTTCATCATTATGGCTGAGTCCACTGTGTGTGTGCAGAGAATGTGCGACCTGTGGCATCAGCATCAACGTGAATAGATCAGACATGGTCACACGTTTTTCATGACACTCTGAATGCAGTAGGATTTTTATTATTTCACTCAATAGGAGGCTACTTGCTCTGCCACGTCCTCTTTGATGACAGAAATTTGTTCGGAAAACTAAGCGAAAGGGCAGATTCATTCAGAGTTCATTTCTACGTCCGTTATTCCAGAGAAAGGCCTCTTCATAACATCACGCTACACATGAATTTTAAGAGATTTTTCCTTTTGTCAGTTTGTTGTAAGGTGTGTATTGGACAGAACCTACAAGGATTGTGTGACTTCCCAACAGCCACGTTCCAAACTTCCCAGTCAGCCCTTCATGGGGCCACTCCTGACACTGGCACAGATCGCAGGGTAATTAATGAAGGGTCTCGTCCACATGGATGATTTATGATCTCATTACTTCAGACCTTGACCCTCAGTTTTAACCCACTTATCAGAGAACTTCCCCCAAATGAGAATAAAATGAGAGGCCTATAACTTTAATAATTACATAACTGTATATTTTTAAGTGAAACTTGAATCCTCATTCATTTTCTCACCAGTCTTGTCCATTTTGTCTTTGATTCAAACTCTTAAATGTCTGCGCACACTTTCCTCGGCAAAAACCCTGGGAAACGCAGCAACAGGACTTCATTATTCTGTTCCTTCCTGTCATTATGGAAACCAGCCCTCAACCTATGGAGTGATGGCAGGTAAGAAAAATTCTTTTTACATATGACATTGAGTTTGGGAATAGAAGGATTTTCTGGGCCTGGAAGAATGGTGAACAGAGCGTGACATAAAATTCTGATCTCTTGGGTGGTGCCTGTGGCTCAAAGGAGTCGGGCGCCAGCCACATATACCAGAGGTGGCAGGTTCAAACTCGGCCCCAGGCAAAAATTGCAAAAAAAAAAAAAAAATTCTGATCTCTTAACTTTGGAAATTATTGTTAAAAGCCGTCATAGATTATATATTCTATGACGCCCTCAGTGACCCTAGGGGTTATTGATAATCATCCTATTTTATGCAAGCCTGAACTGCTATGCTATTTAACTCTTGTTTTTGCTTTGTATGATTTTTATTTTAATTCACTACTATCAAACATCTGGTTGTCACTCGGTGCTATTGGCAGGCTGGCCTACACTAAAAACACAGCAGCGAGTAGCCTCATGTGGCTTTCACATTTGAATGTAAATTAACTAAAATAAAATTTAAAACTCAGTTGCACTAACTACATTTCAAGTGCTCACATGTGGCTACTGGGTATCATATCAGGCAGCAAAGATTTATTAAATTTCCACTCATCACAGTATTTCTGCTGGACATTTGGCTCATACAGACAAATAAAACATTGATGTAGGCCGAGAGTAATCGGCAGGGGCTTTAATGGCAGCTGTTTCACTAGCTAGCAGCCCTTTCAGAATTATTTCTGATTTGTAACTGAGATTGAAATAATCGATACCTTTCCCCTCTGGATAAGTAAACCATCACTATAGCGCTGTAACGACCTATTTACGATGCTTACATGAAGGCATTGAAGCAAGGTTTTTTAAAAAATGAGAAAATCTGGCTGTGGAGATTTACTTATCACAAACTTCATTCCTTCATTTCAGGGTATGGACAGATAAAAGACTTTAATGATCTTTAAAAGTGCATAGTTTTGTTGGGCACAGCTTTTTTTATTTGTTGGTTTGCTTTTAAAGAAATTATTTGATCTTTTATATTTATTACTGTAGCTCAGCGATTCTCAACTTGTGGGTCACGACCCGCAGAAACCGTATTAAAGGGTTGCGGCTTTGGGAAGGTTGAGAGGCACTGTATGTAGCAAGTGTAGGACTCTTGTCAGTAAAGCTGTGCGAAAGAACCTGGGTATGAGAGAGAGACACAGGAGAGATACAGGAGAGATAAGGGAGATATTATGGGTCAAGGAATCACATGTGGGGGAAATCTTTTCTGAGTTGTATTTTGTTATTATCCAGATAAGCAATAAAAAAAAAACCATGTATTTGTGCTTATAATTTTGAAATAAAATGAAGCACAACATTTAAATTTTTAACTATTTAATTTTTAATTTTTTAAATTTCTCAACTTAAGACTAAATAAAACTTTGAAATAGAACAATATGCCAGAAAATTGTTGGCATCTCTTATATTCTTTGAAGCAGCATTCTAAATAAATCGGTATCCTCACATTCATGGTAAGATAAAGACTGATGTTTTTTAACAACTACCTGTAAATCTTCATGTCTTTTTAAAATAACTGAGAAGTCAGAAAATTTATATTTTTTTCTCTCTGAAATTTGATTATTTATGATTCATATACTTGGTTAATCAATATTTCCAGTTAATGAGAACAGCTTTCCTGGGTGACGAAGTCTAAAATGTAAATCTGTATGTTTACCGACTGGAGGTGCAGGAGGAATGCCTGCTGCGACCTTTCCCACATTTGATGTGTGGGCAGGACATGCCCAACACATGCTGCTATTTCCTGGAGGAAAGGACTTGCAGTTCATTGGAAGTGATTCCCAGGAAGCTAGATTACGCTTTTAGTTCTTCTCTTAATCTAGCACCAATCTTATGGTAGCCCCTGACAATTGATGGAGATTGACACAAAGATAAAAACCAATCACAGGCCAGCAGTCAAGAAACTCTTGTCCAAATATCATAAGATAGTTTTGCTATCGCCTTTCCTCCCCACCAAATCAAAAAGGACCTACAGTTGGCCTCGTGAGTTCACGGCTGGCCTCAGAATTTTAAGACCCTTCCTGCTTAGAACTGGAGCCAACAGCTCAGTGTTGACAGTCAGAGTCAACTGGCAACTTGGTTTTGCTAATACAAGTTGCCTCAAGAGGGAACGCAGAAAACCCCTTCTATGACACTTTTCATCGTTACAATTAAGAAGGAAAGGCTTCTGGAAAAGCCTTTTAAAATGATTCCAAACCTGGCTTGGCGATGCCAAGAGCAAAACTGTTACACCAAGATTTGGAAGTATCATTTTAGTCTTAAAATTAAATGCATTTTGTTACCTAAAGAGAAACTCCTCATGGCAAACAGAGACACTATATATGAATATTATTAAGAGGAGTAGTATGAAAATGTGATACACTATAATTTGTCAGGATGTGTATATTTGACATATATTCAGTATTGGCTTCATGGGAGATCGAATGCTGGAGAATCTAATCTCTCCTTCCTTTATCCCCAGAGAAACCGCACAAGTTAAATTACAAAACATAGAAATTATAAAATAACAGAGAAAACAATGACACATACAATAAAAACCAGTGCCATGGTTATGGCATTTACATTTCTGAGAAGTGCCACGCTGTTAATCACATCATCTGCTTCCACACAATCCACAGAAGTGTCTCCTCCACGGCAGAGACAAGCCCAGTGGCACATACTTTACGTAAAAGTGAAAATGCAGAGAGAACTTTTACCTCAAGGATGTGAAATTACTTTATTTTAGTATCATGTTTAGTAATATCACTCATATTCTGACGCTTCCAGTTAGTTAGAACATTTTATTAAATTAGTAGCCCACAGGAAGGGAAGAGCCATAGCTAATATTTTGTCAGGTTGGTAGGGAGGACTTTAATCATCAGCTAAGTCTGCAGACCTAATAGACCAGATGTCGTCAAATTAAAGGGAGTGATGAATTGGAAGCAATGAATTAGCTCCACCATCAACGAATTACTAAACTCACTCAGATCACTTAACCCCTCTGAGTTTCAGTCTCTTCATATCTAAATTGTGGTGGGTACTAAAATTCCATCAGGGTTGAGTTGTGGTAAAAAATATACCATCTCAACCTGCTTTCTGTTTTGATCTCCCCTTTAGATACATTTGCAGCTAAATTCCTTCTTCAGGTCCTTCACTCCTGAGCATTTAGAAAATTCAACATACTACAGCACAAATAGCAGGAATCAAAATAGATAAACACAAAATCAAAACAAAATATCAATAGAAAGTCTATGGCTGGTGCAGTGACTCATGCCTGTCATCCTAGCAATCTGGAAGGCTGAGGAGGATCCCTTGAGCTCAGCAGTTCAAGACCAGCCTGTGCAATAGCAAGACCTCTTCTCTACTAAAAAGAGAAAAATCAGCCAGGTGTTGTGGTTGGGCACCTGTAGTCCCTACGCAGGAGGCTGAGGCAGGAGGATCCCTTTTGCCCAAGAGTTTGAGGTTGCTGTGAGCTAGGCTGGCACCATGGTACTCTAGCCTGGGCAACATGGTGAGGATGTGTCTCAAAAAATAAAACAAAAAAGAAAAAGAAAAAAAGTCCTAAAAATGCTGATTTGGGGATGTCTGAGATTGTTTCTCTTCCCCAGCATCTAAAGCAGAGTAAAATCTAGAAAACAAACTCATTGGACTACTCAGTCTTTCCATGTTAAGATAGAACCTGAGAAAATCAGCCTCACATAATGAATGTTAAAACTAGCGTAAGTATATGTCATAATGGTCAAACCAAGAAGTGATGTGGCAATCCTTGTCTTAAAAATTAATTTGAAGAGGAAATGACTATGAACTGATGAGCAGATAAAGAAAATGGACACACACATACACATATGTATATATAAAACAGAATACTACTCAGCCATCAAAAAGAATGAAATACTGCCTTTTACAGCATCTTGGATGGAACTGGAGGCCATATCCTAAGTGAAGTATTTCAAGCAATACAGATACCACCTATAGTCACTTATAAGTGGGAGGTAAATGATGGATCTTTAAGGAACACAGAGGGGTATAATAGACATTAGAGACCCAGAAGGGGGGCGAGGGTGAGAGGAGACTGAAGGATCAAAACTTACCTATCAGGTACAGTGTACGCTATTCAAATGACAGGTACACACAAAGCCTGTCACCTCAGTGCAAATCATCCACATAACAAAACACAGTGCACACCCTAAATCTACTGAAATATTACAAATTAAAATAAAAACAGGAAATCAAAAGTAAAATTATCTGATGTCTGGTAATTAACCAAGGTGATGAGCATTCATTTTTTTTTTATGAGAAATGGCTAATAAAATATTGCTGTGGTTCTGAAAATGTCTTCTTCACCTGGGGTAATACAGAAGGCCACAGAAATCTGTTTGGCAGTTTATATGGAGAAATGGTCTACTTTGGAGCCCATCTTTTCATTCTTATTTATTTTTCCTTTCTTTACTTCTTTGGTTCTCTGCCCCTCCCCCTTTGCTCCTTCCTTCCTTCTCTCCCTCCCTCCCTCCCTTCCTCCTTTCCTTCCTTCCTTCTTTCCTTCTTTCTTTCTTTCCTTCCATCTTTCCTTATTGCTTTGTTATTTTTTTCTCTGTCCCTAAATTATTTTGATTGTAACGACTCCGAGAGAAGGAGTAATTCTGAGGATCTTTTTGCCTGTGATTTAGGAAGTCTTTCAGCAGCAGGAACAGGATGTAACTTCCCTTATAGAGTGGGTAGGGACTGGCAATATTTTTCTGTAAAGAACCAGACAGTAAATATGTTAAATGTGGTAGTCTCTGTCACAACTACTCAATTCTGCTATCGTAGCACGACATCAGTCACAGGCTCTATGTAAACAAATCGTCATGGCTTTATTCTGATTAAACATAATTTACAAAAATAGGCAGTGGACTCCTTCTGTACATGAATAAGATTTACCAATGCACTTAAGTGAAAAGGTCACAACTGGAATTTATGATTTGCTTTGAATTATTGCACATATGGAGAAATGGAAATAAACAGAAATATTCAAACACATATTTCTGTGGATTTTACAAACACAGAAGGGTGGTATATCCTCTGCTTCTTCTGTTTCCTATTTTAAGGCATGAAACCCTTGACCTGAGATGTTGTCAGCCAGCCACATGCTGCAAAGTGCCCCAGGCCACGGTACATTGAGTCAGAGCCTGGCTAGGCAAGCCCTGTCTCTGCCCCCCATTGCCTGCTTTGGAAGATTTATTTCTTATCTCCCCCCTCTGCCACCCAGAAATACATACATAGCAATTCAGAAAGGTTCTGGTGTATTAATCTACAATGTAAAAATATATTTAGGACCATAGAGGTTGTGCAAACACTTCCCAGCTATTTAAGTGTGTACTGTTGACACCTCGAGTTGATTTTGCTTTATCCATGTTTGAGAAAATATATTCGAGACCTCTGCTGCATGTGACTCACATCTATTATATTATTTCTATTTTTTGTTTCTTTTTCAGGAATCTAGGCTTTAAAAATTTTTTAAAAATATTTTGTCATATATACTATACTCCAACATATACCAGTTCCTCCCAACAATCCTCCCAATACAGGATCTGGTGGTAGGAACATCAGTATATGTGCCTCTGCTTATAACTGCTATGATGAATTTCTGGAAGTTAATTTCAGAAATATTGTGACCCCGCAGATCATTCTGTATGCTTTCATAGAGTGAAAAATAAAAATATGTCACACATCATGTTTCTCTTCTTGCTCTGAGTATTATATTTACTGTGTACTTTTTCTTTTTATTTTTTTTAAATTTTATTAAATTATAATTGTGAACATTAATGCATTTCTGGGGTGCAATGTGCTGATTTGATAACCACCTGCACATTCATACAAATGATAAAACCAGACTACAGGTCTATGTGCTTTTCAATGGTCTCTCCTCAGATTCGTTTTCTTAGTGTCCACTTTCTTGGGGTATTTATCATGTGTAAAACACATTTAACATTTTCTGGAAATGGGAACAGTACACTTCTAATGTCGTAAAAATAACGATGATATTTTTCTGTGAAAAATGTAAATATATTTTAGAAATTATAAATATAGAGGGTGCCAAAAAATGTGTACTCATTTTAAGAAAGAAAATAACTGCCTTAAATTTGTAATACTCACATCACTTCTGACTACTGCAATTACAAGAAGCGTCACCATGACTTGCACTCATCTTTTGTTACTGGTATACACCGAATATGGCAATTTTAATACAGTTTTTTTCTTTCTTCAAATATGTATTTTTTTTTTGCTCCTTATGTATTTGTTTAATGTAGCCAAATACATTTAAATATAGAAAAAACCTTTAGAGGAAAGCCACTTAATTTATCTGAGTATAGACTGTGTGAAAAATAAGCGAGGTAATTATTTGGATGTGGTTTGTCACAACGTTTGTTGAACTTGAGTTCTAGTTTAAACTGTATCATTAATTTATTGTGGCACTGGAGGAAGTTAGTTTATTTTACATACATTTAAAATATTTTAAATTGGGGGGCATATATCTATCCTTTCTAACTCAGTTGTTTATTTAAGGATAAGGAAGAGGACAAATGTGAGATGAACACAGCACAAAGTGTTGCATAGATTTGTAGTAGAGCACGATTATCATTGGCCAGAAAAATTAGAAATAATTATCAAGGTCGTTAACATTGACGACCTGAATGCTAAGGTTGTAGCATTCAGACAAATGGAATGCTACATAAAAATATCCAGTAAGTTATTAATGTTAAATAAATTGTTCGACATAGGTTAGGTGAGTTATCTGGTGTCTTAATATATTAAAAGTACAAAATCAAAGAGTAGCCTGACTTTTTTGTCTTGTTTTTACTGTTTTTCCAGGTAGTCCATTATTAAGTATCATAATGTCTGACATATCTGAATGAAGAGGGAAATGATTTTTTTTATATATTTTTAAGGATTTACTCTGAAAGCATAAACTTAAGACAGGTATTGAGATAAATATTAAGTAGATTCTAAAATAAACGCCATCAGTTTTCTTTTTATATAACTGTTTTTTTTGTTTGTTTTCAATTTTTGGCCAGGGCTGGGTTTGAACCTGCCACCTCTGGCATATAGGGCTGGTGCTCTACTCCTTTGAGCCACAGGTGTGGCCCTATAATAGTCTTTTCTTTAACTGGCAGAAATCCAAAACTAATAAGAAACTAAAAATGAACCTCAGAAGCAATGAACATTCTCAAAGAAAAACTATTTAATAAATAAAAAGGTTATACAATTGCTTTATAAAATTTTTTCTCTTCGAATCAATACACTATACCCTAAAGCATAAAGTGGATAGTTAGCTGATTTTGCAAAAGCCAACCTGGATAATTTGGGTTTGTAAAAGTGGCATGGCTTTCTCAAGACAAAAACAGTTTCTTCAAAATCTTTTTCACCCTTGTGAAGCAGATGAATTTATTTTATGCCATTTCGTCTTACCTATTGCTTGTATGTTTACAGTCTAAAAGTAACGTATTCTTTTAGACAGGGCTGCACTTTATAATTACATATTCTTATATAAATAATATGAGTCAACAATTTGCTGAGTTACACTATGCTTTGCTCATTACATATTGATATGTTAATCTAAGATTTGTATATTCTGGAAAAATACATTATTACTCATGCCTTTGATTTGTTAATATATTTATAGAAAAATTTTAGGTAGCATGAACTCAATGTATTTTTGTCATGTTTCCAAGAGTGATTAGTACATGAATTCCATACTAGTTTATTTTTAAATATTCATTTATACTCATAAGAAAAATGACTACTCAATATTTTTCTAGCAAAATGTCTTGGTTATACAGTTCAGAATATTGACTTCAGGATCCCCAAGGATATCAAAATCTACAGATGGCCCAAAAACCATCTACAAAATGTTACATTATTTGTGTATAACTCATGCATATCTTCCTATGTACTTAATCAACTCTAGATTGTTTATAAAACCTAGTACAATATAAATGCTATGGTTTTTAAATTTTTATTATTTTTTCATTTTTTTAACTGTGTTTTTAAAACTATTTTTGAGCCATGGATGGTTGAATGTATGAACCCATGGATATGGAGGGCTGACTGGAGTTGTCATTCAATAGCAATTGAAGTAACCCCTTTGCCATAGAAATGGTATTAGAGCAATGAAGAAAATAAGAGACAAAATGTGTTGGACTTTGACCTATAAACCATCCCTTTACCTAGGCTTCCTAACTGAGATAGACTCTTCCTTCCTAATACAAAATGAAATCTGGAAGTAATTTTCTTTTAAATTTCATAATATTTTGAATGTGTGTATCATTTGACTCACACAGTAGAGTTAATGCTTCGTCCTTTATGATTACCAATTACATCCAGAATTGCATCTTTTCTTACCATTTATTTTTGCTTCTCTTTAAATAATAATCAAGAAGTGATTTCGTGATATTGCATGTTTTTTCAAGAAATCATGTTGCAAACTTTTTAATAGAAATTTTAAAATCAACTTTTCTTAAATTCTATTCACTCTTCAAATCTATTTAACCACCTTGTTAATGTATTTTATGTTTTTACAATTCTCTTCTTTGTTAAAATAAAAATGACATGATTATTATTATTTATTTTTTTTGCAGTTTTTGGCGGGGGCTGGGTTTGAACCCACCACCTCCGGCATATGGGGCCAGCGCCCTACTCCTTGAGCCACAGGCGCCACCCAACATAATTATTTTTTATTGAAACCAAGCATTTACTAAAAACAGTGGAGTTTTTCAATACTGTAAAATGAGTTTATCAATTGCAAGAAAACTACTCAGCATAGAACTTTGGCCAAAGCATTTAGTGTCTTGGTTACAGCAAATATCACTGATTATTTAGTCAATGAGATAAGAAAACAGATGAATGCATCCATTCTGGTTACAGTCAAACCTCAGATTCCCAGGAATAGGTGTCTCTTAAGAGAAAAAATGATAGAAATTTACACTTCTGAAGGAATTTTCTTCTTATTTTAGTCATTTGTAACCCCTGCTTCTTTCCCTTAACATGATCTTTGCCTTTGCTGCTGGAGTAGGTGGGAGACATGTAAGCCCACGTTTTTTTGTTTTGTTTTGTTTTTTTTTTTTTTAGACGGAGCCTCAAGCTGTCCCCCTGGGTAGAGTGCCATGGCATCTCGCTCACAGCAACCTCCAACTCCTGGGCTCAAGCAAGTCTCCTGCCTCAGCCTCCCAAGTAGCTGGGACTACAGGCGCCCGCCACAATACCCGGCCATTTTTTGGTTGCAGCCATCATTGTTGTTTGGCGGCCCGGGCTGGATTCGAACCTGCCACCTTAGGTGTATGTGGCTGGCGCCTTAGCCACTTGAGCCACAAGTGCCAAGCCAAGCCCACCTTTTATTAAGCTCCCTGATTCTTCCTCTGAGAGTCTGAGCGTCAAGTACTGAGAATGGCTGTGGCCAAATAATAGGCTCTCACAGGTAAAGCCTTCCTTATATAGAAATGAGGAATAATCATAAATGGTCTTTTCCTTTTCTTATTTTGTTTGCTCACAGGTGGTTTAACTCCTTGTCTTTACAAATTTCCTGACCACACCTTGGGTCATGGATTTCCTCCCATACACCAGCCTCTCCTGGCCGAGGACCCCACAGCTGCTGAATTCAAGCAGGAACTCAGGCGGAAAAGTAAATTGGTTGAAGAGCCAATCGATATGGATTCTCCAGAAATCCGAGAACTTGAGAAGTTTGCCAATGAATTTAAAGTGAGAAGAATTAAGTTAGGTATGTGCTTATTAACGGCAAGGGGGCAAATAAGGTGGTCTGCAAATCCTTACTCCATTACTGTGAAATCTCCCGTAATCTGACTCAAAAGTCTAAGACGGCTCTCAGTCACATCCCTGGTGTAGACCTCAGCCCAGTTATAACAATCCTACAAAAGCCTTTCATTTTCTTACAAATTCTTAATAGTCTAAATGCACAGGTTTTTACATTAATGGCACCCTTCCTATGTTTTACCCATGTCAAGATCAGTTTTGAAAAATGTACCCATTTTTATCTATATTTTACTTAAACTTTTAAATAGAAAATATATTCATAATGTTTCAAAAGTATGAAAGAGCGTAAGCGACGTGTATCTCTTGTGCTTGCCCTTCCTTTTAATCATTGTTTGTTCCTTGATACATTACGCATATATAAGCAAATATAGATACTGCTTCATACAGATGTCTTTTGGAGAGCTTCCAGTATTAATTTTTCTGGATTCTCCTTTCTTTCATGGAGCTTTTAAATTCCACCTTATGAATATACTATGATTTATTTAACCAGTTCTCTACGGGTGGAATGTAGATGATTTCTGATCATTTGATGTTAAAACCATGTAATTAGGTCTATAAATGTCATTTTGCTTCTCTGTAAATACATGTGTAGCAAAAATGTTAGATGCTGAACTGCTTGATCAAAGGATAAGTGTATTTGTTATTTTGATAAATGTCGAACTGTCCTCTATATAAGTTGTACCAAACTTTACTACCACAACGAGTGTCACTTTCACCACCTTAAGAATATAAATTCCATGAAGGCACACAATTCTTGTTGATAGATTTCTTTTTGTTTTCCCACTAGTGGTATAGTCCCAGCATCCTGAACAGTATGGCTAGAACATAGAATAGATAAACAGTGGTTGAATAAATGGTAGGCTATTAGTCTTTCGGATCTTTGTAAATCAGACAGGTCAAAGTGGCATCTTACTGCAGTTTCATTTTAAATTTCTCTTATTATGAGTGTAGCGTGAAGACCATTAGTTTATGTATTTGACAATCATTTGTATTTCCTTTTATGTGAACTGTCTGTTGAGAGCATTTGTTCATTTTCTATTGAAAAGTGTTTTTAAAATATAAACTATAACAATTAACTTTGGTTAAAATTCATGAAATTGTGTACTTTTAAAAATAGGTAGAAATGATAGTTTAAACTCTGCACGTGGAGAATGAACAATAGGTAATTTTGTAATAATATTTACTGATGGCATCATACCTAATCATTCCATACATATAGGCATATAGCCGGAGGCCCTGAAATAATTGCGTGGTTATTGCACGTAATAAACATAGCAGTTCACATCTTTCTAACGTTCATTTTCAGTTTTTTTATTAATATTGCTGTGAATGTTTCAAATTATATGTTGATGGTTTATCTCTGCTTGTATTCTAAAAATGTTTAGAAATCAATACAGATCTTTGTCTGAAGATAGAAGCATTCCCAAACAATACAATAAGTATACTCAGAGATATACATGAAATGTGTGATCATAAAGTCATATAAACTTGTTTTTAGAAAAATTCAGTATAATTCTTAGTTTTATTTGGTATCCTTCAATGATATGGTTGAATTTTCACTTTTCCAGTTGAAATAAAAATTTTATGACATATTACCATATGTTTTAAGCATTACGGTTAATATAGTAAAGTTTTTGAGAATATATCAGATATTTAATAACAATGATGAAAAGAGCAAGAACACATAAGTGTCTCATAAAGTGTTTAGGACACACCTACGTAGCATGGCTAAATGCCATGACTGGTAGATGTTTTCATCTGAATTCTTTTGACTTCCATAAAAAAGTAATTTATTAACTAGAAGAATTACTGGACAATCCTACACTGAAATTGCTAAATAATTCTAATTTGCCAAAAATATATAAATTAAAAACAGTATTCAGTAACTGACAAAGAAAGATACACAGATTTGTGAGATAATAGACCAAAATTAGTGCTTTCTGAACAAGCTGGAGCTAACGATCTTTATTGTCTTTTCACAGGATACACCCAAACAAATGTTGGGGAAGCCCTGGCAGCTGTGCATGGCTCTGAATTCAGCCAAACAACGATCTGCCGATTTGAAAATCTGCAGCTCAGTTTTAAAAATGCCTGCAAACTGAAAGCGATACTCTCCAAATGGCTGGACGAGGCGGAGCAAGTAGGAGGTACTAATGCTGGATCTCTGACGGCTGTGCTATGTTTAAGGCTGTGCTACGTTTTAACCTAAAAATAGTGGCTTCACCTGGTAGGACTAATGCTAAAGAGAGAGGTTTGATGGGAGTTTTTTCCCCCTTTTTTCTTTTCTGTTACATCACACTAAAAACAAACAAAAATTAGCAAGGCCGATGTAATTATATTTGTAATTTACTAAGGCGATAGCTATATAAGGAAAGTTTATAGATAGTACAGCATCAAAGCGAAGTGGTGAAATACTTATTTTTAGTACATCTAGTTTTTTTGCATCTGTGCTATGCTGAAGTAACTGTGTATGAATCACTCTTACAACCTAACATTAGTTTACACTTTTGTACACACTATTCTTCCAAGTAAATAAAATAAGTGACTGCTAGTGGAGCAATTTAATGAGGTGAAATTATCTATTCATACTTCTGTTAAAGATGAATAAAGAGCAAAGTTTAAAAACATTTAAAGCAACTGTTCCAGCAAAAGGTGAGGATATCATATATAAAAAATAGTCTTTGCAAGGTTAATATTTCTTTCTGCATTAACATTTTTCTCCAGGGCCTGAAATGTACAGTGACTTAGACTTCAAAACCTCAGACAAAACTTCAGGGCGTTTTTATTTTGCATCATTTATAGAAAACATTTGAAACCTAAATCAAATAGTTAAAGAAAGAAATCTACTTTGTGTTCATAATTATCCCGTTTCCATACTATAGCGTTGTACAATGAAAAAGTGGGAGCAAACGAAAGGAAAAGAAAACGAAGAACAACTATAAGGTACTTTTTATATTTTATAATTATATTTATTTTACAAATGGAATAAACATTTGGTCCAATATGACACATAAAGGTAAGGTGAATAAACTCAACGGAAGAGACAAGATAGCTTTCTGAAAGTGTACTAGCTTAATTGTGAGAAATGGAGAGCAAGCGATTTTAATGTTTGGTGGAAAATTTTGTATTGTTTGATTCAAGAACACTTTCCTTCCTGAAACTTTAGGTATATACAGAAACGAAACAATCGTTTCTTAAAAAGGGCCATCTCTGCTGTCCTTTTAAATATACATTCTTGCTCTGGCCTTGTGGTATCCTATCTGTGGTATCTGTGTTATTAGAATAACACTGCTACATTCCTTAAATTACACCATGACCTCTTGCATTTTTAACCCAGAAAGATTTTTCATTGATCTTTTGGTAGTTTCTGTGGGGCACACATAGGAACTACTAAAAGATGGGTTTTGTTTTGATTGGTTCATTCTTCACTACACGTTTCCTCTACTGTAAACAACCTGAGAGATGTAGGGGCGTAGTTAGAAATGCCTACGTATGTGTTCACTTCCTTCAAGAACGCAGTGCCCTCTGGTGGCACAAAGTGGGATAAACATAGAAAACTCGGGTCCCCGTACTTACTTCTTCCTGACCCTGGTAACATCACTCTCTGCCTAATACAAGCATCTAAATATTTGACAAATTGTACACCTGTTCTTATTGAAGCGCTTTACAAATGTGTTCAGAGTCTAAGTTTTCTTTTCATGATAATATTTAGGAAATTCAACCTAACTTAATTTTGATCTACCAAAAACTTGACTAAAGACAATGTAATTTCACCCTTTACTCCCCCCACCTCCCCGCCCGCAGTATTGCTGCTAAAGATGCTCTGGAGAGACATTTTGGAGAACAGAATAAACCTTCCTCGCAAGAGATCGTGCGAATGGCTGAAGAACTGAATCTTGAGAAAGAAGTCGTGAGAGTTTGGTTTTGCAACCGAAGGCAGAGAGAAAAACGAGTGAAAACAAGTCTAAATCAGAGTTTATTTTCTATTTCTAAGGAGCATCTTGAATGCAGATAAGATTTACTACTGTGCAATCACCACTTTTTTTTTTGTATTTTTACTTTTCATTCCTTTCTGTTCCTCAACAAAAATACAAATTACTCGGGTGATTTTAAAAATAATTTTATGTCAATGACTTTAGCAGAAATTTTTCTTTACTACTATTGTTTTAAAAAGAATCCAACAATTTAAATTATATTGGTAAGTTGTTTCACTTAAAATAATTATTCTCAGAAGCCACATTGTGCATCTTTGGCCGGTGACTAACAGCAATGAAATGCTTTCTCTTTCTCTCCTTCTCTCCCCCAAAGCCCCCCCCCCCCCAACACACACACACAGACATGTGAGTGTTCTTGTAGGTCTTTTGGTTTAAATTTCTTTTCCAAGCCTATGAGCTTTTTATTATTTTAGTTAGTAATGTCACATATTTAAAGGATTTCACCAGGGAAGTTTCAATTAGAAAATTCATTAACCAATTTTCTGCTTACCACCACCTCTAATAGTTTGAACTAAATGTTTTAAACTTAAAAGCTGAAAGTGTCTTAGAGTTTTATTGCTGTATTTAGGAATAAGCCTTAATTAGAATTAACACCTTTAAAGCTAGTATTCATGGCATAGAATCCAATGAACTGTTTCAAAGAGATCTGGGAAAACATTCATTTATGATCTTTTCATTCTTCTCCCAAATCAGCTTCTTGATGTTTAGCTATAGAAAATATGCTTCATGGATTCTTGAGTCCCAGGCCAGTAGCATGTGAGCCACAACTGAGCGGGGATGATACCTGGCTTATTTACTGTTTTTTCTGCAGTGCTTGAGAAAGTGCTTCTAATAGGCATGCAATCTTTGTTAAATGAAAGAATAAAAGGGTGTACTATTAACAATGGCTACAAATGTAAAGGGTGTCACTTAATTTCAAAATGTAATCTATTTTAAAATATCCCAATTCAGAAAATCATTTGGGATCTCACAACAAAATATGACTACTTTTAATATAATTTGTTAGAATCTATGCTTAATGCAAAAATTTTGATAGATTGAGCCTCTTAATTCTAAGAATTATAGCTCAAAGAATATGTGTACTTAACTTTTAAGAATGTACTTCTTTGACACTTGTAAGAAAAAGCAACCTATGGTGTGATATTATAATTTAGAAGTGACCTTTTGCATTTAAATTTGCTGCCATTGAATTTATTTTTATATAAAATGGAAACAATTAGACCAAATATTACTGTAGATTTAGAATTGTCACTAAATAGATAATACAGCCCAGTCTCTTTATATTATTTAGGACCTAGCATTTTTACAGGTCATCATCTACTTAGATCATATCCATTACAAGGGTAGAAATTGGGGATGTTATTAACAAAGACAGATATTTAATTAACAAAAGATTGTTTCCAATGGTCTAACTATCTATGCTTAAGCACATATTTAGCATTTAAGTGGTATAAATCTTATTCAAGAGTAAATTCCAAATTATTCAGCCATGCAAGTGTTTAAATTCGTTCTCTGGATAACACAATATTTCTTCATCTGCTTAAAACATATATAAGTTGGGGAAGAGATCCCTCAGTTTGCAAAAGACAAGATCACATACATGCACACATATACATATATATGCAAAAATGCATATATGCACTTTGAAACTTGCAACAGAAGCAAAATGTAACACAAATCTAGATTAGTGATGATTTTGCATTTTAAATATGAATTTTCTAGTAATGTTTACTGTGACTTACTTTATGTAACAAAAACACTCATGTATGTGTACTTAGGTCCTCTCTATATACACTTTGCTCATATATAGATACATCGACAAGGCCATTCTTTTCTAGCAGAGACACAACCACTAATGGGAACCAATTTTTCTCCCTAAAAGAAATTATGTTGAATATTAAAATAGGAATTTGTCACTCATTTGGCGACTCACAAGTTAGTTGTAAATACACTGGAACTTAATATTAACTAATTTGTACTAATGAGTTTTGAGACTATTTTTTAGCAGTGTTGTGAAAATATTTTGATACATATAGATTAACATTTTAAAACAATAGAAAATGGTCAATGTTATTTAGAATTCTAAACCACAATTAACCAAGTGACAAATATAATTTGCTATGTAGAACTAATGTTTATACTTTTGGAAATAAATGCCAAAGACTAATTTTAGCCATGTCAGTTGTAAGTCTTTAGGAATTCAGTAGAGTTATCCATTAAAATGAAGAGATGTTTATCATTTATGTCAATCACTAAATTTCAACTTTACTTAGTGGAGGGGGGGTTGGCAAACTCATTCATACAATTTACCTTTGCATCTCTATTGGTGAAAAGACTTTGTTAAGTCAAAGAAATATTTTCAGTATTTGGAGATGGGAGGGGTGTGTGTGTGTGTCTTTTCAAGATGTTGGGGAAGGTTCTGGGAGGTGTGAGTTTCCAGAAGTAGAATGCCGGAAATCAGACTGCCTCTAAAGCAATGTCAATTCAATTGATTCTTAATGGAACCAAGAATACAAGAATAGTTTAAGTCTATTTAAGGGACTCTGCTTCTATAGAGAGGAAACAGGAAATTTGATGGGTTTTTCTGAAGCTGCAAACACCTTTTCATGCAGAGTCAGGGAATGTTATCATAGGTCTCTTTCAGACCTGGGCGACCCTGTTTTAACCTAAGTGTTTAGGAGTGCACATTTACATTAGGGCCACAGGTCTAGGTGAGAACTGGACGCATAGGGAAAGGACATTTGGCCCAAGACAGAGTGCCAGGTTTCCACTAAAGGGATTCAAATCCCTGTGATAAAATACACATCCCAGCACAGGTCAAATAACATAAAACCCCAGGCTGTCAGCTTCTTCCTTTTGGCCTATAGGGTCTCAATCCTGAGCCCCTTTCCATTAGCCCTGGCCGTAACCAAAGACTCTCAGAGCATACAGTCTGAACAGCACAGTCATCTAACAGATGGTCGTCTTGTTTCCTAAGAACAGGTGAGGCCACTGACATTTGGTGTCACGTCCTACTTCCCTGGCACTCTGAAGTCTCCTCCGTCCATGGCTTGTCCATCGGTAGCAAAATGTGGCAAGGCACTGCATCCCTTTCAGTAACACAGATACTTCTTTGTTCTCTTTCTAGGGGTCACCTCTTGTTGTTTGAATACCATTATTAAAGAAATCCTTTTCACAAGAAAGTGGAAGTTAGAAAAAGGTTTTATAAAAAAAAAAAATCAGTATTTCCATTGTGCTCAATCTAGAGGAATCCCATTTTCTAATCTTAAATGACCCAAAAGGAACTTTTATTTTTAGCAAGGGATACAGTGACACTGCAAATGTATAGTGATCATGAAAACTGCTACCAGAACATTTTTTAAATATAGGCAAATCCAAATGACTTTACACTGTCTTTTGGGTCCACAGGTCTTTGGTGGTAAATGGGAGAAATCACAGAGATGCAGAAGTTCAAGAACCAAACTTATGAGTGTTTCATTTCTGGAAATTTTAGGGAAAATTATTACATTAGTTAAATGCAAACCACGAATTCTTAGGCTTATTAACAAACATTCACAAATATCAGCTTTGTACCAATACAAATTCTTAAAAAGACAGTTATTTTATTTAAAATGTAAGTAGCAGAGTTACCTATTTCCTTTCAGGAAAATAATGAAAATCATTCTTTTGAGATATTATCAAATTTGCACAGAATTTGTAATTTTAGCAGAAGCCAAAAACAGAGTAAAAGAGATAAGAAAAAAGATAATAATAAATTTTTATTGGAATATTTTTAACAAAATAATTTTTTAAAAGCCCCCACATTTAAACAATAAAGTAAATAAGTTAGATGCTATTATCAGGTACATCCAAGAATCAAAACATGTCCTGGGTGAACATTCAATAATCCAGTAAATGTTTTGACCCATCAGTGTTCAGAAAATTCTATTTAATACTATCAATAATGAAACCTAATCTTGGAACATTATAAAATGGCTTATGGAGTATAAACTAAATAGTTTAGTTTTTAATTCCTCCCACTAATCCACATCACATGTATACTTTTCTTAAGAGGTTTTCGACTTTGTAAACATTAGTCCAAAATGCCCATCATCTCAAATTAAACAGGTTATACATATCTGATCTGTTCCAGAGGTTTTGTCTTTCTTTTTTTTTGGAGACAGAGTTTCACTCCATTGCCCTGGTTAGCGTGCTAGAGTGCTGTGGCATCAGCCTAGTTCACAGCAACCTCAAACTCCTGGGTTCAGCAATCTTCCTGCCTCAGCCTCTGGAATAGGTGGCATTATAGCACCTGCCACAACACCCAGTTAGTTTCTCTATTTTTAGTAGAGATGAGGTCTCACTCTTGCTCAGGCTGGTCTGAAACTATTGAGTTCAAGTGATCCTCCTTCCTTGGCCTCCCAGAGAGCTAGGACTATAGGTGTGAGCCACTGTGGCTGGCCTCCTCCAGAGTTTTTGTTGTGGGATGTACTAGAACCCATATTTTATATCCTTTTTCAAAACTAACCTAATCCTAAGTTTATTTCTAACTGATCTGGTACACCTTCATTTTCTCTCACACTCTATACATATATTAAACACTCTAGCAACTTTACCTTAAAAAATAACTGCTAATACTTAACACAATATTTAGGCAGATGTTTCTAACAAAATTGTAGTTTATTTACCAAAAAAATGTTAATTTTTATTAAAAAAATTCTGAGTATTGTCATAGTACGTATTGAGAATAATGGCTTGAATTTAGAGAAGTCGACACACACATTGATACTGTTCAACATTCAACAGAAATTAACTTATAATACATACAAAACTTCCTCAGTTTTTAGAAGGTCAAAATTTAATTTTTTTATTATGGTAAAATGTTATTAATCCAGTGTTTGTTTTTTGCTAATTATATTCAATTCACTTTTATAAGCTTTATTAAAGAGAGCCTGAAAAATCTTTGTACAAGGCCTCAGTTTTAGTTTAAATTGTAATTCTTTTTGCCAGACAAAATAATTTAAGGATATGCACAAACCATCTGTGCTATTTAAGGCAGGTGCCAAGCGCATTTTGAAAGATAATAACATTACCAACTAGAATGTTCTCCCAAAGGAAAAAAAAAAGTTATGACAGCTTTTGTTTAAGACAGATGTTTAAATAGCACTCTTCTTTTAGATCGTTTTAAAATAATTTGGCAGCTCAACCGCCTATGTTAATAACACACAATCACTTACAAAAGACAAGCAACAGATACAGAATTAATGAGATACTTTTAATATTTTTACAAGTCTCTTTAAGTTGGTGCCTACTGGCATTTAACAAGATTTTTATATTCAGCGTAGAAAGACATAGAACATAAACTGACACTATGTAATGAATATAATGTCTCTGTGCCATGCAGAAAAGAAATCAATGTTTTACACATCATCGCTCCTAAATAGTTCTAACTAAAATCCAAACTGTTCCCATTTTTCCATCATTGTCATTCTTTGGCAAAAGACTCAAAACAGCCATGGATTAGGAAACAACTGTTCATTCATGGTCTTTATTTTTGCAAAATAAATGTGTTTTGCAAAAGGAATCTGCACCAGGCCTGGTTTGTAGTACATAAGCAAAAATATGAGATTTTTTTTGACTAATCTACTCCTAAAGCTTTGAGTTGCCGTTCAATCTCTTCATCGGAAATCGTAGCCTTTGAAGTAGAGGCAGATGGTAAGCTTCGGGCAGCTGATGGAGCTTTGGCCATCTATATTAAAGAAAGGAGAAAAGAGAGAAAAAAAACAAAAACAAAAACATGTGTCAGCAAACATATGGGCTGGGACAAGGATGTGGTATAATTTACTTTTGAAACAAATATAAAAACTTATACCTAATAGTAAAAAGAAAACAAAATAAAACAAAACCTTGTAACAATTAACTCACAAAAGTGGTAGAAACTATTTCCAACTCAGAAAAGAATATATTCGTACCTTTCCAGAGATTTCAATTCCAATTTCATCAAGCACTTGATTCACAATATCCTGGCTTTCCTCTTCATCATCAGAGCCATCAAAGATGTCATCAAGTGTATCATTGACTGGGGAGGGAGGAGAAGACAGGAGAGCAGCTATTGTCAAACAAGTTTCAGGATAGATTTGCATGTTTAGACGCTAGCCAAATTATGTGCATATATTTTGTATATTTATATAATACAAGGCAAATTTACTGAACCAACTATAAGTTACTTAAATATTGGTAAAGTACATTGATAAGTACATTTTTGAGCCAATTAATTTAAAGTAATGTTAATTCCAACAAAAAGGTACTTGTTTTACTCATATAGTAAACTAAATCTACTTTGCTTTAAAAGAAATCTAATAGACAAAAACTATATGATACTTGCAGTTATAGGCTTAAGATTTTTAAACATGATCCCACAAATTATATCCATTAAGCCGGCAGCTGTTAAATCTACCTAGCAAAAAATATTCAAGAATTAAATATTCTGTAGATATTTAAAGACAATTTGCTCTTTTTACGCCTGTAATCATTACTTTCATACACCATAAATTTACATTCACGATATAAGGATGCTATTCTAATGAGGTCTAAGGCTCAGTATTTTATTAAACTTGCCCAAAGAATGATGTCCACTTGAACCTTGCAGAATTATTATTTCTATGACTTATCTTTGAAACTGGACACTAAATCCCTAGCATGCAATACTAGTACAATGGATGGAAAGATGGAGAAGAATAAAGACCTTAGGTTTTTACGCTCGAATACAAAAGAAAAACATTAAGAAACAGATTGTGGTGAAGTGAAGAGTAGACGATTATGAAGTTTCAGATGACTAGAATCCCTGGGAGGAAGGAAAATGTGACGTACTCCTGGAAGGATACACAGAATGTGACCAAACAGAACAGAACAAAGACACAGTGTGGCAAAAGGGACAGTGAGAAAGAGTGAGTTATTCTGTTTGGTTGTTATTCAAGGTCCGCGCATGGAAAATGTCTGGAAGAAAAACAATTGACATAACTGGCTCACAATCATTCCTCTCTTGATTACTGGGGGTTGTCCCCAGAAAAAGAAAGACAGGTAACCTAGTAAAGGATTTGAAGAAGGAAAAAACAAACAAACAAAGTTATTTTCAGGTATAAACGAACGTTATCTTTTTACAGGTACAATTTATATTTCTATCTTATCTTTAAATTCTTATCTCCTTGTAATAATGCTGATAATTGGGACTCCTGGTAAATAAATAGGCTAATATTTGCTAGAGCGAGAGTCCTTGTCTATGGAATGCTTGCAGCAGGATGTCCCAGCAGTAACAAACCTACAATCTATGGGTTTATGAGCCATGACTCCAGGGAAAATGTCACATAAAGTAGATGACTGGCTGGGGTATTAACTGGAGACAGTTCATAATCTGGGTATTCCCTTCAACATGAGATGATAAGCGACCTCAATGGATACATCACTTATTATTCTGGGTCAGAGAGCTTGTGTTTGTGATAAAAAAAAAAAAAAAAAAAGTGATTCATTTGGGATGTCTCAGCCCTCTCAGTTATTTGGGATAACTGCTTTGCTTATCCAACTTAATTGTTTGTATCCTTGACATTATTAATAAAGGTTGATATTGGTTAAGGGCTCTGATTTATATGGGCATGATATGACAATCTGATGTTTTGGGTGAGCTCAACAGTAAAAAGTAAATTTGGAAGAGACAAAAGAGCTTAAGGACAAAAAATGGGACATTATCTCTATAGAAATAAAGTGAATGTTAAGATTTGAATTAGAATCTCCTTTCTTCCACTTAGTACCCTTGCAACTGTGGAGGTAAGTCATTTTCTCTCTCTAGGCCTCAGTATTCTCACTGGCAAAATAAAGAGTCTTGACCAAAACATCATTTTTAATTTATGATTTAAGGATTTACTTTTTAGTCAACAGAAAGCCATTGAAGGAATCTCATCAACATGCTCAGAGCTAAGCTTCTGGAAAAATAATCTAGCAGTGTAAATTACTTGGATAGCAGTGAAGTTATAAAGGAGGTGGAGAGTTTGTAAGGGTCTGAATGAGGAGATAGCTGCAGAAAAAAATGAATGAAGAGGCTATATGAGAAACACTAGACAGCTGTAATCATAGATTAGCAAAGTTGAATGCTTTGGAAGAAGTGTAACAAGGACTTCCCAATGATTTTGTCTCCAAAACTATAATGTGAACAAGTGGGAGAATATAAATTCTACCTGTAAAGAGATAAGTTCATTTATACTTGGAAATAACTTTTTTATCTTTTCCCTTCTTCAAATTGTTTACTCCATTTAGCCAGAAAACAAAATACTGATGAACTCTTTTTCTTTGTAAGGTGACTATATTTCAAGACTATAGAAGCAAGGTAAAACTTCAGGTGCAAATAATAAAAATTGATACTTCTCAGTCAGTATCCACAGAGTAAGGCCTCTAAGTGATTTTAAATCAGGTGGCAACACTGAGAAACATTAACACCATAAATATGCATGTGTATATAAATGTACAGTATACACACTATGGGGAGGCAGAGGTGTGGAGAAGGGCAAGAATGAAAGAATGAAAATGGATACTAATTGAAGCAAACTTTCCCTTGGATTAATTATTTCATTATGAAGATGTGTTCCAGCTTCTAAAGAATTTCCTGGTTTGTATTAATACACTTCAAAATGACTATAAAAACTCAAGTTTAGTTGACAGGTCACAGGAAGATTCAGAAAAGGACACAGTGAATACAGACTTAGGTGGAATTTCATGCTGGTTGTTTTTCTTTTTTAAAATGTAAGCCACTGAAAAAAATTTAAAGCAAAAGTTGCATATTGACATTACAGACAAACTGAAACGTAAGTGACTTTTAGCACAGTGTATACATGCTTACATAAACTCAAATAGTTACACATTTTAAAAAATTTCCATTTAACATATGAAAGTTCCAAAATACATAAAAGCATTAATACTTCCTATAAAACTACAATTAGAACATCAATTTGCTACAAGCTTATAAAAACATCAAGTGTTTTCCTGGAGTTTCAAGTTTCCTTTCTAAAACACGATCTTGCTCGTGTATACAGACCTTCCCCAGTAATCAGTGTGGATGTTTTTTTCTCAAGAGGTTTATTTTCCAGGTACATTATAAGATCAAGAAAATGGATCCAACAATTATGTAATAGAACTGTGTCATAACAACTTAATTGCACATAATGCTTTAAAGTAGGTTTAGATGAAGTTCTCAAACACTTAGGTATATGCCCATTCTTGTGTCTTTTTGTTAATGTGCTCTGTACCACTGGTGAGTACACCATAGTTTCCTTACCTGCTGCTACAGAATGCTATTTTACATCCCCATGGCTACTGCCAAGACTACAAAAAAGAAAAACTGTATTTGTATACAACACTAACCTTTTGACTGCTCAGGTATGTTTCTGCTTGCTGTGCCTTGTTATGGCTGCTTTTTTGCGCTAATAAAGTATGTTTGGTGTTCTCCTTGTATATCTGCTATTTTATACATTTGCAACAATCTCTCTTATAAATAGAATGGTTTGGGGTTTTTAAATAACCATTAACTGGCAACCTACTACAGTTAATGCAGAGTTACTGTACAGTCTAATACTGACTAATACTCGTCTACATCTTTCTGATCATAATCATATATACTGTGGAACAGTATCAACAGATACTGCAAATTACCGTACAGTTTAGGTTATAACATAAAATTAACAGAGAAATAATAAACCTATTGATTTCTCTGCTTGTAAGGAAAACACTGAAACTATCAAATACATAGTATAGTCAATTAATATCTATAGCCTCCCATTGCACCAGAAACAGGTTATATGAAGTCTCGTGAACTAGTAATACATAAGTACCATTTATTGGCTTGGGGGCCATTTTAATTGATGATAATTATTGCTCAAAATGTAGAACTTTAACCAAAGACTTGTCCATTTTAAAGCAAAATGGAGATTGAAGGGACTTGTAATTTATGTTATTTCTAAGAGAAGTCCCTGAAAATAACTTGTATGACATATTGTTAGTTTACTAGGCTACGACAAAAAATGAGTAATAACCAATAACAATTATTTCATTATTGTAAACTATTAAAATACAAATGATAACAACTAAGATAGATGTTTTATATATATGTATATATATATGATTAAATAAAGGATTATTGATTCTTTTTATTATAGCCTAATGAAAAATTTTATTTCTTTCATAAGACCTACTCACACCTATGCCATCATTGCAAACCACATAAAGATGTTAAATATTGTGATCACAATATAAACAAAAATTCTCTTAGCCATTAAAAATTCATTGAAGTTTCAAGAGCCTTGAAAGAATCATATTTTTGAAAGTAAAGACTTGAAGTAAAAACTAACTAACTTCTGGAGCTATCAAATATACAACTACAGTATATCATCATACCCAGGAAGAAGAATGGGTGCTCTGAAACAGAATACTATAAATAGAATAGTCATGAATTTAGTAACTCTAGTAATTTAATTAGATACTATTTTATGCATTAAATGCTACAGATAATCAGAGCTAAACTGGCATATGCCTACATATCTAACTGTTAAGCAATTAGAAAATCCTTTTCACAACAATGATGCTAGTTGACATAGAATAAAAGAAGTAGTAACTTAATGTTTAACAGGCTCCATATGAAGGGTCATTCATTCATTACTGTGAAATAAAAATTCTCTCTGGGAAGAATATGGTAGTGCCTGTGTGACCAAATGTCTTTTTTTTTTGAGACAGAGCCTCAAGCTATCCCCCTGGGTAGATTGCCATGGCATCACAGCTCACAGCAACCTCCAACTCCTGGGCTCAAGCGAGTCTCCTGCCTCAGCCTCCCAAGTAGTTGGGACTACAGGCGCCCGCCACAATGCCCAGCCATTTTTTTGGTTGCAGCCATCTTTGTTGTTTGGCGGGCCTGGGCTGGGGATTCAAACCCGCCACCTTAGGTGTATGTGGCTGGCGCCTTAGCGGCTTGAGCCACAGGCGCTGAGCCATAACCAAACGTCTTAAAGAAGTTAATGTTCTAAGGAGATTTAGAACAGCAGCTAACTCTAGAAAATTTGGTCCATTATAACATATAAACATAAACAAACAAACAAAAATAACATATAAACATTTTTTCAAAGAATTATCAAGTATAATGAAAATTTTAAGATAATCTTATTAGCCAGTGTAAGAATGGTTTAATAAATTAGGGTACTTTGATGCTATGCAAGAATAAAAACAAGAGAAAGAGCTCCCTTATCTCTCCCTCCAACACAAGCAGATCTTCTGTAGTATGAAAGAGTCAACGTAATTCTGAAACTACCTAATTTATAGCATGAGAAGTTATTTCATTCACCAGTTGGTTTTGGTACACTAACCAATGAAGTAAAAAACTGCTGAGGCTAATGTGTCAAAGAAATATAGCATATCGTAGTGTATGTATTCTTCCTCAGTTAAATGCTAACAGAATTTTGAGAGAAATACACTGTCAATTTAAAAATGCATTGAAACTACAATGTAAATAACTCCCTGTAAGGTTGCTCTATCGCTTTTTGTTTCATTACTTCTACCTTCATAGATGAGAACAGGAGAACGCTGGTAAATAAAACTGGCTAATCCAAGGAGAGAATTCAACTTACTCATCTCTTCAGTCATTTCCATTTTCATGTTTTCCTTCTGGAAATTCTGCATTGTTTGTAACGTCTTTTGAGGATCCATCTTCTTGTTAACTGCCTGCATTGTCTTTAAATATATTAAAAGATTCGTGTTAGCCCCACATTATGAACATTTTACTATGGAATAAGTCAAAGGGGAACATACTAAATACAGACAGGCTTTTAAAAGATATCCACTCTGCCATCATCAAACACAGTGCTAAGTGCTAGGTACTCTAGAAAAGAATGAAATATTTATTTGTAAACCATCTCCTTAACATCCATATAATAAAAAACAGCATGAACAAAACCTTATCTGACTTGTAGACAACAAAATTATACAATAAAAATATTACCAACATAAAATCCACTGCTATCCAAACAGGAAAATTAAATTTCCCTGTTATGTGCCAGGTGTACACACATGTAAGTAAAGTCAATAAATTAAAAAAATTAGAGGATATTCTAGCATACATAATCTATTAACACCTTTTAAACTATGGTTTAAAGAAATTGAAAAATTCAGTTTGTAAAAGTATGTGAAAACAATTCTCTTATAAATTCACAACTTATTTCTGGCCACATTTTATTTACAGCTCTGTACCATTTACCAAATTTTGGTCAACAATGGATTTCATACATAATGGTGGTCCCATAATATTATAATACCATATTTTTACTGTACCTTTTCTATGTTTAGACATACAAAAACTTACAATTGCTAAAGTATTCAGTATAGTGTACCCTCGTTGCAATAGGCTACACCGTATCGCCCAGGTGTGTGACAGGCTATCCCCACTAATGAGGAAATCACCTGAGGGTAAATGTCTCAGAATGTATCCCTGTTGTTAAGTAAAGCATGACTGTGTTTACATATATGACATATATATAAGTTTGCATGCATTAGGTAGTTGATTCAGTATATTAAAGGACACCTTACAATAGAAAACATGTTGGTTTCAAAGACATAAAACAAGCATGACCCTTTCTCAATGTGCATACAATGCTCTTGCCAAATCAAGTATGAAACTGTCCTCCCCCTACTTCTACTGCTCTCAGTGCTAAAAGTCAAACTCCATAATGTGCCTGTGAGACCTAATATGGAATGAGCTCTGCTTAACAAGACAGTCTCATTTGTACCACCCCCATCTCTAAGCGCACTGACCTTTTATTCCCTCAGATGTGCTCTGCTCTCTGCTGCCACTGGACCTTCTCGTGTGCTAGTCCCTCCCCTGGAATGCTCTGCACTTGCTTCCACTAACAGTATTTCAGATTTCAGTTTGTGTACCACTTTCTTACAGAAGTAGCCCCTGACACCCCAGATCAAGAACAGATAGTCCCATTAAATCCTACTCACTGTAGATGACATTTTATGTTTATTAGTGTAAATTATATTACTTTGATTGCAACTTATATTATTGCTGTAAAGATACTAATAACAATAGCAATGTTGATGATGACAATAGAGTACCTAACGTCTAAACAACCTTACTGTGTGCCAGGCACTGTTCTCAGCACCTTACAGACAGTAATTAAAGTTAAACAACATTTAAACCTGCTGCAAGCTCTACGTGTTAGGTACTACCATTTTCAATATATTATAAGTGGGGAAGAAGGCACATAAAAACTAAATAGCTTGCCCAAGGCCACACAGCTACTAAATGAAATGAGATCTGAACCAAGTAGTCTGGATCCAGAGCTGATGTTCCTGAACACCGTACAGACTACCTCTCAGATGAGCTGCTCTTACATACACTGTGAGCTTCATGAAGGTTAAGCTCCTGCCTGGTTTTCTTTCTATTTCCTCTTCACCATTTCTTTTAGACCCTATCTAGAGGACATAAACAATTATTTGCTCAAATTAACATATTTCTACCAGATTTAAGTAAGAATTCCAATTCAGACATTTCTACATGGCAGGACTGTAGTAGGTACCTTTTCCTAGGCTACCAACTGCAGAAGACTGCAAAATGAGCAATCTTTAGCCTCTACACTAATAAAAAGTTTCTAGTCTAAGTGGTAAATTAAGCCTAGATTCTAGAAAAACAACTAAGTCCTTCGGACACATTCATGAAAATGTGGAATTGTGGAAATTATTACTCAAAAGAAGAACTTAGAGCTTAAGGAAAGAAGCCCAACAATCTTCTGACAATTTAAAGGGAAGAAAGCAAACACTTTTTAAAAGCAATTTTTTTTTTTTTGAGACAGAGTTTCACTTTACTGCTCTGGGTACAGTGCCATGGCGTCACAGCTCACAGCAACCTCCAACTCCTGGGTTTAGGTGATTCCCTTGCCTCACCCTCCCAAGTAGCTGGGACCACAGGTGCCTGCCACACACCTGGCTATTTTTTTGCTGCAGTTTGGCCAGGGATGGCTTTGAATCTGCCACCCTCGGTATATGGGGCCAGCGCCCTACTCACTGAGCCACAGGCGTTGCCCTTTAAAGTCAGTTTTATAAATTAGAAGCTACTCATGATCAGGAAAATAAAAAAGGTCCTAAAAGAGGAAATTTTATATTAAAACATATCAATAAAGAATCTAGAAGTATTACTTGGGCTATCTAGTTTTATCAATCAATCATTTTATTAAAATCACAGCTTCTGCACCACATATATACCAGCAGGTGCTTATAATGTGACTTGAATATCAATTTGTAAACATCTCTAATCAAAGTAGAACTTTATGGATAGAAAGGCTCCTACTTACTTTGGCTGTGGTAGACATTGCTCCAGCCATCTTCATCTGGGAATTCATCACTTTTGTTTGTGTGGACATAGAAGTAACTTTTGAACTGACAGCAAAAGTTCTTGTTTTCTGTTTCCGAAGATGTACAAGTTGTTTGGCTAAAACTCTGCAAGCTTCTTTATTACCAATTTTGGCCATTTTCTTAATTTCTAATTCCTAGGAGAGATATGAAATTATTACAGAGTATCCCTCAACAATTTATTTCAGAAGAATAGACCTATTGTATAAAATATACCTTCTCCCTGTAAAAGTGAAGAGGCTGTCATAGTCACAGAGAGGAAGGGTAATCTGAGAGGGTGGTTTATTCCATATGTTTACATGGAAAGACAAGAACTCGTCCCTTCAGCCACAAACACAAAGAAAAATTTCAAAACAGTGAACATATAGAACCTAGAAGAAAATTTTTAAAAAGACTAATCAAAAATAGGTAAGAAAAAAAGGGAACAACTAAACAGAGTTGGTGGTGCAGAGCAAGTAAAGAGCCAAGTGGTGGACTGAAAGCTAATCATAGAGATAAATATCTCAACCCAATGCCCACGTTAAGTTCCAGAGAGGAGACAGTATTTCTATCTAGACTGGATGCATGTCCAGTATATGAAAATTAAGCTTAACTCTAGGTGGTGATCAATGTGGGAAGGTGGTCAACTACGGAGGCCGTACTGTGTGTGGAACACAACCGGCAGAAATGAAATGAGAAACACAACCAGCATGGAGGATATCGACAGCTCCTGTCTTTAGTATATGACTTATAAGCACAATTTGATAGAAATCTCTAATGATATAGAAGATATAAGAAAAAAACACATTATCGGCTCGGCGCCTGTGGCTCAAGCCGCTAAGGCGCCAGCCACATACACCTGAGCTGGCAGGTTCGAATCCAGCCTGGGCCCACCAAACAACAATGATGGCTGCAACCAAAAAAAAACCAGCCAGGCATTGTGGCAGGCTCCTGTAGTCCCAGCTACTTGGGAGGCGGAGGCAGGAAACTCTTGAGCCCAGGAGTTGGAGGTTGCTGTGAGCTGTGATGCCACAGCACTCTACCCAGGGCAACAGCTTGAGGCTCTGTCTCAAAAAAAAAAAAAAAAAAGAAAAAAACACCTTATCACCAATTTGACCTAACTAGCATTTATAAGAAACTCTTATCAGTTAAAGCAGAATATGTATTCTTTACAAGTGTATACTAAACAGAAACCAAAATATTTCATATTCTACATTAGAAAAGAGGGCTCAATAAAGCTCAATAAATTTTAGAGATTGAAATCACCCCAAATATCCACACTAATCACAATGAAATTAAACTGGAAATTCATAAAAAAAAATAGGGAAGAAAAATCATAAATGAGTAATAATTTAATAACACAGTTCTAAAAAAGTCCTGAAAAAAAATTATAGAGAATATAACATTTTAAACTTAAAGTGAAAAGGCAACATATCAAAATTTGTGAGTTGAAGTTAAAACAGTTCCTGAAAGGCAATTTATAGAAGTTTATATTTTTTTAAAAAAAATGAATACCTTACCTCATAAGCTCCAATATAAAGTAGGAGAGGGAAGAACAAATGAAACACAAAAGCCATAAACAATAGGAAGGAAATAATATAAACAAAAAAGAAATCTGTAAACTAATAAAGCAGTACAGAAAAATCAATGAAACCAAAGTATGGTTTTTTGTAGATCAATCAAATTAATAAACTACCAGCCAGATTTATGAAGGAAAAAAAAAGGAAGACAGATAGAGAAAGATAGAGAACATACAGTTACAAATACCGAGAACACAAACAAGGGCAGTACTTTATATCCTAAAGATGTTAATGAATAACCAGAACATCTTATAAACAACAATATGTCATTAGATTTTAAAATTTAGTAAAACTGGACAAATTACTTAAGAGACTCAAATTAACAACGCTCATTCAATGACAGATAACTTAACCCGTTCTACCCTTCCAACTTAGAAAAACTTCACTCACAGATGACTTTACTGATTAATCTTATCAAACCCTTTCAGTAAAGAAAGGGGTATGGGATCCTCGCTAGCTGGTGTTGTGAGGCCAATATTGCTACTCTGACGTTAAAATCAAATAAAAAGCACTACACAATCCTCCCTACAAATCAGTTTCTTTCTATGAACAAAGATGAAAATATTCTGAAAATTTCAGTAAACGGAAAATACATTAAAAAAATACATCATGACCAAGTGGGGTGTATACTAGGAACAAAAGGTTGATTCAACTTTTGATAATCAGTCAATGTAATTAACTAAAACAATAATCTGAAGGAAAACTACATAATCATTTTAATATAGAGATACAAAAATACTAAACAAACAAAATATTTGACAAAATTCATTCTTGATAAAAACTCAGAAAAGTAGATAAAAAGAAACTTCAAGGAATCTATGAAAAGTGTATAATTGACATACTTAATTGTGAAAGGCAATTTTTTCCCCAAAATAAGTAAAAAGATAAGGATATCTGCTCTTATCACTTCTACTTGTATGGGAGGTTCTTATAGGGGCAAAAATGTCATAAAAAGAAAAGGTTGCAAGACAGGAAAAGAAGATGTAATTTTATGTATTCACATTACCTGATTATCAATATGTAGAAATCTCATAAAATCTATAAAAAAGTCTATAAGAACAAGTGAGTTTATGAAGATTATAGGATTCATGATGAATATATAAAAATCGAATGTAGCAATATATAAAAAAACCCAAACAGTCAGAAATTGAATTTTTTCTTTAAAATACCATGTTGCATCAAAATATAAAATCCTTAGGGATAAATCTGACAAAAAGAAATGCAAGACCTTTAACCTTACAAGTACAAAACACTGCTGAGAAAAATTAAAGATCTAAGTAAGTGGAGAGAAATACTATCTTTATGGGTCAGAAGACCCATAATTCTTCCCAAAGAATTATTACATATTCAATCTACTAGAAATCAAACTCTAGACTTTTTATCAGAAAAGACCAGCACATTCTTAAATTCACAGAGAAATGCAAATCACTTAAAATAGTCAAAACAATTATGAAAAAAGTACAAAGTTGAAGGATTAACGTTTTCTAACTAGAAGATTTATTTAAAGCCATAGTAATAAAAACCATGTAGTATGGGCTTAAGAACAGCCACAGATCAATGCAATAGCAGAATTCGGATAATGCCCATCTGTATATAGACAACTAATTCAAATGATAAGGTAACAAGGGAAAGATGTCAGCAACAATTATGTTGGAACATTAAATTTCCATATGCAAAAAGTGAACTCTCCTGATAGCATACTGCAATTTAATTCAATATTTCACTTTTTAAATTTAAGAACCAAAACTACAATACTTCTAGAAGAAAACAGAACAGAATATGTTACTGACTGATTTAGGCAAAGATTTCTTAGAAAGGACACTGAAAGTATTAACCATGGAAAAAAGAATAAATTGTACCTGATCAAAAGCAAAAACAAAACAACTTTTGTTCTTCAAAAGACACTTAGGATAATACAAGGCAAGGCCAAGAACTTGGAAAAAATATTTGCAAAAAATATATTTATTACACACTTGAATCTAGAATATATAAAGAACCATTACAACCAATAAGAAAACATTTCGATGAAAAAGTGGATGAAATATCCGAGTGTGCACTTTGGCAGAGAATACGTGTAAATGACAAATAGGTACATGAAAAGAAGCTCAACATCAGTCCTGAATAGAGAAATGTAGTTTAAAATGACAATCTACTACACATGTATTAGAATGGCTTAAAATAAAAGACTGTCAATCCAAGTATATCCTAAATCTCACACATTTCTAGTAGGAAGAAAAATATTACAGTCACTCTGAATTGTTTAGCACTTTCCTCTACAGCTAAACACACATTTATCCTATGACACAGCACCTCACCTTTAGGAAGTGAAAACATTATGTTCACATAAAGAATTTACTTGAATGTCTGTAGTAACTTTATTCAAAATAATCAAAACTTGAAAATAACCCAGATGTCCACTGGCTAGTATAGAGAGACATAAATCGTGAAATACCCACACAATGGAATCACATTCACCAAGAAAAAGTAACTAACAGTGATGCAGGCAACAACATTGATTAACCTCAAAACAATCACGCTGAGTGAAAGAAGACATATGAAAAAGAGTCAATTATTATAAAATTCCATTTTATATAAAATTCTAGAACTATAAACTAATCTAGAAGGACAGATAAGTATTTGCCTCACTGGAGAGAAGGGAGATAGAAAGGGAGGCAGCGGAAGGATTCCCAAGGGCGTAAGAAAACTTCTGGGGATGATGGATATATACGACCTTGACTGTAATAATGGTTACACGAGTTTATTTATATATATGTCAAAACCTGCCCAATTGTATGCTTTAAATATGTACAGTTTCTTGCATGCCAATTACTCAATAAAACTGTTTTTTCAAACGATCTGAGGCAGCATATATTTTAAAATACAGTATACAGAATATTTAAAGATGAGCTAGACAAGTCTATTAAAAAAAGTATACTGTTTGTCACAAATACACGATCTTTCAAACATCAAGTTAAGACACCTACGAGCTAACTAACGTCATTACTTTTCTTTATAACTCTCTCTTATTTTCTATTTTATCTTTGCTGTTAACTGAGAAGGGGCTTCCTTTTTGAGCAATATTTTTTCTCAGGCATTCATGACTTTCACAAACAGAAAAATAATTTGATTCGGAATACAGAGAATGCTGATGACAGTCAGCAGAATGACACAATAAACAAAGGTAAGCAGAAGATGCAGGAAGTCATTAAGTGCCATTTCTTAGTCAAGTAAATCACTTACCACCTGCCATGTGCCTTTTCCCTACTTAGCTAATTATTCCAACACTAATTTCCAAATTTGTTTGAAAAGTTACACTGAAATTTAATGTTCTACTCACCAGCTGTTTTTCTTGTTTCTCTAAAGCGGCTCGATCTCTGATTATAGCTCTCTGTGTACCTCGTAACTCTCGATTCTGTTCCTTTATTACATCTAAGAGAACCACAGAAAGAAATCTAAATTTATGGGTTGTAAAATTGTCAAGACAATATAAAATAGCGGACTCAGAGATCATGATTAACAAAAACCTATGCTTACTAGATGTTGAAATCTTTATCTCAACTTAATATACTAAAAAATTAAATATTAAACTTAGATTATAAATATTAATTATATAAAGAATTGACAAAGATGAGTGTAAAGATTCTGTAGGTTAAGATTTAATCAAAAGTATATATTAAATCACAATAAAATATTCCCCTAGAGAACTGATTTTTACACAATATTTTATATGGCACATGTATACGTCTGTCTCTCTTTCTCACTCATATGCGTCCATACACACTGCCACACTTTTCTTCTTTCCATGCTCCAGTATTATATGAAATTTTGGGAAGGAAGACAGATCACATATTAATTAAATCTTTTTTTTCTACAGTAAGTCATAATAGTGAAACAGAAAACCTTCCAAGGAGGCCTATATTGATTTAAATGCTACCTCTGCCACTTGATCATTGTATGATTATATCTTGGAAAAGTTAGTTAACACTAAACTTCAAGTTCCTTCTTTAAAAGAGAGAGATTATTTTCAGGAATAAATAACACTCAAAATGTCAAGATAAACCATAAGCATCTACTCAATCATAATGTCCTTCTATTTTATCTCGTCACTTAGATTCTTCAGTTCTACCTTTTGAAGGTAGGCTTAAGGAACTGTAATTTAAGTTAGTTGTTAATAATAACTCCTTCAAAAGATCAGAATTAAATGTTAATTACCGCAACCACTGAACTTTTACTGTCAACAATCTTGCTATATGTATTATACAATTTAATGTTCATATTATAATGCTACCATGGAGTTTCTATTATTTGATACATTAAAAAAAAACAACTGAGTGTTAAAAAGGTTAAATAACTTGTCCAAGGTCATGTAGGTAGCAAACGGTAACACCAGATTTGGATCTGAGCATTCTGTCTCCTAGTGACCTTAACCATTTCACTGGAGTAAATTTATAATGAAGAGGTGGATAAAAAACAACAACTGCAGAAAGAACAGTCTCTTTATCAAATGGTACTGGGACAACTGAATATCCATGTTAAACAAAATATAGTTGGACCCCTATATTATATTCTATACAAAAACTAATTCAAAAAAGATCAATAACCCAAATTTAAGAGATAAAATCATAAAATTCTTAGAATACACCGAAGTAAATCTTCAGGATCTGGAATTTGGCAATAGAGCCTTAAATATGACACTAAAAAACATAAGCAACAAAAGAAAAAAAAACATAAATTATAGTTCAGGAAGATTAAAAACTTATGTTCATCAAAGAACATGCTCAAATAAAGATAACCTACAGAATGGGAGAAAATACATGAAAATCATATATCTGCTAAGAGTTTGGTATCCAAAATATGCTGTATAAGGAATTCGTCTAATGCAAGAACAAAAAGCAACCCAATTTTAAAACTGCTTTAAAGAAACAGGCCATTTCCAGGTTTGAAAGATATAAAAGGTTCTAATTTATGACTACATTTATATGAAATATCCAGAATAAATAAATCTATAGAGACAGAAAGCAGACTAGTAGTGGTCAGGGGTAGAGCAAAGGGGACAATGATGAGTCATTACGAGAGAGGATATCGGAGAAGGGCAAGGTCCAGGAGAACAGGTCTTCTCAGGAAGACCAGGAGGATGAACCTGCAGGGCCCTCTCCATGGTGACTCAGCTCTTGGGAATTTATAGGCTTAATTTCCTGGAACTTGGAAATTTCCAAGTTCTGTGAAATCCTGTAGTTCTGTAGGGGCTGGAGTAGCATCTCCCACTTGATTCAAACTGGCCAATGGGAAGGGTACCGTGGGGTGGAACTTTTTGATTGTCAATAAAAAGGGAAAAACCAAGCCAGTCGGTGAGCGTGGGCATTTGGAAATCTTCTATGCCGATGAATAAAGCCCTTCCTCTTATTACTATGGGGTTTGGGCGCTCTTTCTCTCCGCTGGCCCTCGTCTTCCTGCAACAATTACATAATGGGTACAGGGTTTTATTTTGAGGTGATGGAAATATTTTGGAATTAGATACAGGTGGTGGTTATACACCTCTGTGAAAATACTGAATGCCACTGAACTACTCACTTTAAAATGGTTAATGTTAAAAGTGTGAATTTCATCACAATTAAGATGACAAAACCAGCACTCTTTAACCTCTCTAGGATAACTGTAATTATTACATAGTTATAATAGTTATATTAATAGCTATTATAGTTATATTACTGATAAAGCTAATTAACCAGAATGATTTTTTTGAATAAAGGTTAATAAAATAAGATGTCAAAGCTCCTATAACTTACACACATCATTTTCCTTCCTCTGTTTACTGTGTTTCTCAACTAGGGTATATTGGTGGACATCTAATGCTCAGGATTTACTAAGGACACATTCAAACATTTACATAAAAGAATATGAAACCACAGCATGGTTAGTAATGGAGATGAAGAAACAGGAGGCCTTCAAAAGGCCCTGTTATCCTTAAATCTTATCCTTAAATCTCATTTAACCTTAAATACCTCTTTACAGGCCCTAATTCCAACCACAGTCACCTGAGGGATCAGAGTTTCATCATTTGAATTTGGGGGATGAGGCAGGACAATTCAGCCCATAACACACAGTATCTGGAATCATCAGCCTTGTCACCCTTAACATTCAAACACCCAATTTTCTTCTTTTGGACTCAGTTCCCCATCTAGTCAAAGCCAATGGGCTGGTATGGAAACATGTACCACTTATCCCACTGTTCGATATAAAATATGCTCTAAATTAAAAATGATGACATTACAAATGAACATTTAGAGTACATCCCATTTGTGTACTAAGTAAGGACTCTCTTAACTACTACAGAAAAAGTCATAGTATCCCATAGTGACAACAGTCTACCACAGCTACAGCAGTACTGCTCACAAAGAGAAGTAACTCGACTGAGAAATTAAATTGGGGCCAGATAACTAATACAGGAGCAGAACAATTGCTGAAAGCCTTGGTTGGTAAAACCTAAATTCTGTTGACATATACTTTTCTACATTACTAGGTTGGTATACTTATAAATACATGTACAGATTTAGTTTTTGTTCTGGGTTCCTGCCATACAGGGCCTAAAATTCTTGGAATCTCCTAAGTAATAAAAATGTCTTTTGTTATTCATACCAAGACCCTTTTCTCCACACCTGAGTATATGGTGAGGAAGGGCTAGTGGCTGATAGCTTCAGGATGGTGTTAGTCAGTGGGAAGATGGAGTACTTGATTATAAGATGGGAACTTTCAGCCCTTCCCCAGACCCGAGGCTGTTGCTATAAGGGTCTCACTGAAAAGCTATGTCACAGAGAATAAGCATCCTTATTGAAATTGGGTTTTAAATAAGGTGACCATCTGCTTGGTCAGGCAGAATGGTGAGCTTCTTTATTTGAGGTTGGTTTATAGGGAATTTTGCACATGTGCACAATATAGCAATGACCTCCTTGGTTCATTTAAACATCATGTGACTACCTCATGATTAGCTTCCTATAATCCACTCAACATACACCTTTTGACATAACCCTTTCAACATAACCCATTTTAACATAACTTAATGGAGAACGTGTTGTTAGCCATTACGTCTTTGATCTTATCTGATGATGCCTGAGGCTATTGAGGAACAAGGTAGATTGAATACCTGCCCTTGCTGGCCTTGCCATTTGGAGGCTGTTACTTCAGATCTTTAAACAAGGCATAAAGAAACTGCTTGGGCATACAGGAATTTGTGTGCAAACCTCTGCTCCCATGTAGGCCTTAAGTCAGGTGGTTTTTGCTGGAAACTTTTATAAGGAATTTTCAGGCTGGACTTCTCAAAAGCCTTTCATGAGCCCAAGTTTCATCTGTGCCATTAGATACCTGTATGCATTGGGTAAATTCCTTTTCTCTTGAGGTCCTGGAGCACATTTCCATTCCCGGACCTGTCAGCAAGCAACCTTCGTTACTTACCACATATCAGGAAAGGTTACTGATGGTTATCTGGCCAGTTTTCCAAAGGGCTTTTTTATTGGCCTTATAAAGTCAACCTTAATTCCTTAACACAGTAAATGCTATTCCAGCCGAAGCCTTGGTCATGGTTAGGCTCACAATCAATCTGGCCACATGGGATTTAGCCTCAGTTTCTTAAGTATGCCTGCACATTGTCTTTTCACTGCTCTCTCTCAAATGGCTTTTTTGGCCAGAGGCATATAGGCATTTCGCCTATACAAGGGGAGGAAGGATTCTTGAGATTCAGAGAAACTTCCATTTGTTGAACACATTGATGTGCTAGGAAGATGGCTCCCCCTGAGAGGCCATGGAAGCTTTCTTTCCTCTCCCACCCTTGATCTATGTAACTCTTCCATTTGGCTGGTCCTTAGCTGAATACTTTGTAATAAACCAGTAATAGTAAATACAACTTTTTCCTGAGTTCTGAGAGTTGGCCTAGCAAATAAACAAAAACTAAAGACAGTTATAGAAACACCTGGTCAGTCAGAAGTATGGGTGGCAACCTGGGACTTGTGAGTGGCATCTGAAGTAGGGGGATTCTTACAGGACTGAGCTCTTAACCCGCATGATCTGCTCAGAATCTGGATAATTAGTGTCAGAATTGAGTTGAATTGCTCAAAACCCAATAGGTTCAATAGGTGTTGAGAATCAGAGCTGAGACTAAATATAATCATGTTTATTAGAAAACAGGTATACTACATGCAATTTCAACAAAACATGTAATTTAATTAAAATAGTTTGATATACTTTGATTTCGCTTTTCTTAATTTTATATGCACCATAACTGCCACCATATATCATAAAAGGAAAAATAAAGCAAATTAACTACTGCACACTCCACAGCCTCATAATTGTTAAAAGACCTATTAATATTTAAACAGTTTTAAGCTATAAACTCAGAGCATCTTGTGTTACATACTAAAATATAATAATAACACTTT